AATTAAATACAAACTACCATAAATTTGTGGGAAACTGATTGGATAATGCCAACCAACTCCTCCGGGCCTTATTACTTGGATTCTTGAGCCACAACCACCTTCTTTTCAAGGAGAAGACCATAATCCTTAAGTGCGGGAATTCTGCACCAGGTTGCCCAGGTCTAAATTCCCTGCTCTGGTTGTACCAGCTGTTCGGAGTCCTGAGCCTCTCTGCATCTCAGTTTCCTGATCTGTAAAGTGTGATAATAATAGAGTGTCTCGAAGGGTAGTTATGAGCATCAGGTGATTTAATATATGGAAAGTTCTTAAACTGTCCTAAGTAACTATAAGTACTATGTAATTTTAGACATTACTGTAGAGTTGTAATGAGTTCTATCTTATCAAGGACCACTAGGTAGAATTTGCTTAAAAGTAAGAATTTTAGAGACCTAAAAGTGTTTTCAAGAAATTAGAAAGTTGTCACTAGTGTTTCTTGACTTTCTTCCTGGATGCCCTTATTTAACATAAAAATTTCTCCTTTGTGTGCTTCTGGTTAATAAGAGTCCAACACAGCCATAAACAGCAGGGAAGGAGCCAGGTTTGGAAGAACACTTAAGCACTTTTTAAAAGTTCTTCTCTGAATTCTTCTTCCTACTATTCTTTGTTATGTTTCCTTCTTTTCCCTCAACCAGTATCATTATTCTCACAAGTGTCTTTATCATTCTTTAGGTTCTAGGACTGTACAGACTCAATGAACCTGCTCTCTCCCATTCAGAGAGAGAGATTTATCCAGTTACCCCCTATGCCCACTAATGAGGCCCAGGTTTGAGAGCAGGTAAATTGGGCCATAGACATCTGTCTGGGGTATGTCTACCCAAGGAGTACACAAGGCTTTTCAAGGGCTGTGTGGCAGGGCACTGAGAGTATGTTTTGCCTCTGGAGGATAGATTCTGACTGACCTGTTTTAAAGTCAGTCCCTGCAAAATCCCCTGGTTTCGAACTGAGTTCCATGCACTCCAACCTGCAGGTGTAGGTCTTATACAAGCACGATGAAAGTTTTAAGAGAATACATTCAGGATTTCAGATTTCCTAAATCAGTCTGCCTGAGAAGGTGCCTAAGATTGAATTGTAATTCTGGTTCTCCTTTCTGACGGTTCCCACTTTATAAGTTGTCCAGGAAAGAATTTACCTTTACTTTCGTTGTCATTTACACCATCCAACTATTGTAAAAAAAAAAAAAAGGGTCCCTTTTGAAGGGAGCCCCACCAAAGTAAGCAGAGACATAATGAAGGTAATGGTACATCATTTTATCAGTAATAAATTCATGGCAAAGCGATGCCTTCTCTATCTTGGAATTAGAGAAAGAGGCGTTTTCTGGCAGAGGACAATGTGATTTGGCATATTAAAATAAACAGCATTCAAATTTACCCACCTTTCTGGGTGTATTGGGTTGAACAAGGTGCTTCTAAGTAAAAGAGAAACATATCTTTAATAGTCATTTGACAAGGCCTGGTAAAATGTTAGCAGCATACTATCCAGATATTGTGAAATTGCATGAATTTAATACTGAGTTACAAAGCCCTTTGCAAGTCAGGTATTTTTCAATTCATTGCTTTGAAAGAAATTGAAGGAGGAACTAATTGAATTGTCAGCTGTGAGATCATTAAAATAATTTTTGAAGCTGTATTACTATGTGATTGTTGGCACACATCTTGGAAGGGGTTCAAAGAATTGAGTGGCACTGCTATACAAGATTCTCCCTTGCTTATGTGAGCTAGATTTTTCTCAAACAAAAATAGGAATTGAATTGGTCCTGAGCTCTATCTCATTCTAGCAGTAATGATATTTATTCCAGGTATAATTTTAAAAAGTTTCATCTACCCCATTAAGTACTATATTTCCTGTAAAACTTTACTTTATCTGTTTAATTATACTTAAAAACATGGACAATATATTTATGTTGTTTTATCAGTATTGTCCTTGTAATGATAACTCATTCTAAAAGAACATAGTATTACTCCGAGCTTTATGATCACAGAACATAAAAGGAATCTCAATTTCAATCACTCTCTGTATATTTGCAAATAAATATGATAACTGATCAATAAAAGATTTTCAAGCATGAAATACTACAACAAGATAAAATCTTGCAGAGGACATATGTTGGAAACACAAGTTAAAGTTTTAAAAAAGAACAATGCACATTTTATGACTAATAAAGAAGAGCTTGTTCATGAATTTGAAACTAGATAATCAAATCAATATTGCATTTATATTTTATTGAATATATATATTTATGAATATTGTGACACTTTAATTTTAAAATCTGAATATTCTCCACAGACCAACAATGCATCCTTTTAATTTAATTTTTAAAAATTACATCAACTTAAAAATGTGCAAGAGGTTACATAATTGACCAAAATAAAAGCAAGAATATGTGTTTGCACTTTGTCACCTGGTTTGTGTGGTTCTAGGGATTAGAAGGTGACTTTACTCTGTCCCAATCTACCATCCACTTCTAGGCTTGCCAGTTCCTGGCACTGCACAATTAGAACTTCATTGTTAGGAGTTATTCAAACAGGGATTTGGTGTTTATGAAAACACAGCTGTCATAAAAAAAAGGGTGCACACTAATCCTTACCAGTCATTTGCAACTGAGAGTGAATGAATGAGTTTATCTTTTTTTTTTTTTGTTCCCCCTAATAAATGCTTTTGGAAATGTAGAGTGGGGAAGGTTCATTAGGGCTTTTTGGTCTTCATAAAGGAACTAGAAAGTTGCTAGAGAAGGAAAAAACTACACAGAGAGTGAAGCTAGGGTCCCAGGATATGGAGGAAACAGCATGACTACATTTTTTCTTTTTTATCACCATGACACACCTTTGAAGGTGGCAGTCACTCAGTGATACTTGAATTATCATAATCTAATGATAAATGCGGTTGCCCCCCCCAAAACTACTGGTGTTCAGAGATGTCTGTGGTCAAGTTCCAAAAAACTATTTCTAGGAATATTAGAGCATGATTCTATTTCAGGTAAATAAATCAACACACTCTTTATATATGTGAATATATGTATGTAAGGAGTGAGATGTGGAAGAAGTAGCCAGAAAGTTACCAAATTAAGGACATCATTTGTTCACATGTTTAAGTGTGCTTATTTCATTTTTGTAGTTTGAAAAGCAGCAAATAAAGAAAATTTAGAAAATTCTTCCTGCTGTCCTTTGAAAGCATCTAATTATCAGCCCAACCTCAAGGTTGCCAGGACCTGCTGAATGATAGGTGGACCTGTGCATAAGACTTCTGTGATTGGAAGCTAGTATTATTTCTATGTGTCCTACCAACCAGGGAAAGTACTTTGCTAGACGGAGCACTTTCGCTTTTCTACAGAATCTGTCATGTTAGTGCTCCAGTATTATTCTGCTCCCATGACCATCAGGCTGTGTCAGGCTGGCCACATTGCTAAGGGAAATCAGCATGTCCAAATGTGCATGATCTCTCCTCCATTGCCAATGTCCTTGGTGTTCTCATCCTCTGAGCCTTGTCAGAAGGATCTCTGCTTTCGGTCAAAATGGGATCAGATTTGGTGGGATTTGGCAACTTTTTTTCCGTTTTCTCAGGTGGAGGTGCTGGATTCATGTTCCTTGTGCCCAGAAGGTTGGCCTCATACCTCTTTGCTAGGACTTCTCCAGAGAGCAGTGCAGGTGTAATTGTACCTTCCTCTTTGCCCAGATACTGCAACTCAGGTTCAGACTAAAGCAATGAGTGGCAGGTGGGCACACCTAGGGCCCTTTAACTACCTCCTTTTTTGCAATCCACATTTATAATGGATTCTCTTCTCTCTATTTTCTTGGGGTTTTTTTTTGTTTTGTTTTGTTTGTTTTTTTTTAAGAGAGAGAGAGGGATGAGCAGTGGGGAGGGACAGAGGGAGAGGGAGGGAGTAAGCAGGCTCCATGCCCAACACAGAGCCCTACTCGGGGCTCAATCTCATGACCCTGAGATCAGGACCTGAGCAGAAACCAAGAGTCAGACGCTTAACCTGTTGAGCCACCCAGGTGCCCCTCTCCTCTCTATTTTCTTTCCACAGATTATAGGATCATGGTGCACATATGCAAATTTTCTTTCTGACCAGCAGGTATATTTATTTCTGCATTAAACTTGAGAGACTGCAAGTCATACACACCAAAAAACAAATTCTACTTGCATTCATAGCTTCCAGTTGTAGGGAAGAGTGGATGTGAGGTATGAGGGGGTAGAGGTTAGCTCTTTACCATGATGATGACTGAGGTAACATCAGCCATATTGTTCTCATGAAGGGGTGGTGGCGGTAAGAGGGGAAAGGAACGCTGCCTGACCACTTTCTTCTTCCTTCTGCTGACATCTTCAGAGGTAGCCATGGCTTCCTCAAAAATTGTTGGCTTTCAAAGGTGAATTTTATGAATCTGTGTTATAAATTGTAGTTTGCAGGCTTTGGGTAGCTTAAGGGTACAAGGAGTTTATCAATACCAGGGAAGGCTGGAGGTAAATATGTTCACTTTTTGACTAACAACAGGTTAGGTATTTGCTTTGTGGATTATCTGTGACCCATTTGAAATACTGATCCACTTTTCTCACCCTTATGCCCCTGGGCCACCTCTCCTACAAGGTGGTAAATGTGCTCAAGAAATATAAACTAATTTTCATATAAGCCTGTGGGGAAAAAAAAGATGGAAAGCAAATATACAGCAAAGATATTCACATAATATGCTCCTAAATCAAATAGAAATGATTTTGTATCATCGGTTCTTCAGGATGATTCAGGCCACTGTTACCCTATATTTAGGAAGTTTCATCAATAATTGATTGTTTCCTTTTAGCATTGTGTTATGTTGTTTTATTTAGTCCTCAAAATGTAGCAACCACATTTATAATGCAGTCTCTCAACACTCTCTTCCTCTCTCCCCCACCTCCGTTCCTTAATGTTTCCCTCCCCGTTTTCCTCTCCCCTTCCCCCACATCTTCCCTCTCCTCTCCCCACACCCCTCACTTACAGGTGTACCATAGATGACCGAGTCACCCGTGTGGCCTGGCTAAACCGCAGCACCATCCTCTATGCTGGGAATGACAAATGGTCCATAGACCCTCGTGTGATCATCCTGGTCAACACACCAACCCAGTACAGCATCATGATCCAGAATGTGGATGTATATGATGAGGGCCCATACACCTGCTCTGTGCAGACAGACAACCACCCTAAAACTTCCCGGGTCCACCTCATAGTGCAAGGTGAGTCACAGCTGGATCTGGGGGTTAGTGGTCCTGTCGATGATGGAAGGGAGGCATAATCTCAGTCTTTGTTTCTACTCATGTATGAAGACATGAAAAACGTTTTCCTCTATGGAACCCCAAGGTTGAGTGTTATGTTTTGGATTCCTTCCCATTTGCTGGGTTCTTGACTAAGTACTGAATATCTTCACAGTTTCTCAATTTTATCTCTGGTCCTCCTGTTCTTATTAAAATAAGTTGTTTGGTGTGTGCTGGTTGAACTATTAAGTTACTTAGCACTTTGGAGTTGGGCAAGACATACTAAAAAATAGAGATATTACTATTCTCTGTGCCTTTTAATTACCTTTCATAGGATTATTTCATAATAAGAGGTTAATAACATCGATGTGAAGTTATGTGCCTTGTGATGGGCTTTTGCATGGTTGTTGGGTATGCATGTTCCAGAAGGGGTTCTGGGAGCTGGGTCAAGTCCTCCCTGGTATGAAGCCTGCGTCTGTGCATCCCTTTAGCCTACAGTGGAGCCAAGATTAAGAACGACATTAGTCAAAACACTATCTCCAGGTCTATGTCAGAAATATATCTATATAATTTTTTAAAAGAGGAGGTGTTCTCTAACATCCTCCCTCATTCTCCCTTTAAAAATCTGTGTCAGTATACCCAAGCATATTATTCAATAGTTTTTCATTAGAATTTCACAATGTAGGAAAAAAATAAGGCTGAAGAAATGTCAGATTCCCAGTTATCAACTATTAAATATTAAGAATTAAAAAACACATTCAAATAGCAGCTATGAGAATTTGGGAGCCATTTTAAAACAAGGCAGCAATACAAATGAACTTATTTTAAGCTGCCCCCAACTAACATCACCCCCCTGCCCCCGCCATCACTATGTAAAGCAGTTTCTGTCAGGTATTGACTCATGGTAGCAATGAAGGCTAGGGAGACTACTTCCCATCCCCCAGTGCCATAGCTTCCTCCTCTAAAGAGAGGCTTGGGTGGACCTTTCTCAGAATCTCCTACACTGACCTGTTGGAGTCACACAGGGAGCTCTCAGAAGGAGTCCCTGGGTGTGATTCAGTCTTTAGTAAGTGCCTTTTATCAGATCGCATCTGCAGTAGGCTCAACAAATTTTTTTCAGTTTGTGAAATGTGTGCGGCATCTTGGCTTAGCTAATGTGGATGTCCTCACCTTCGCTTTACTAAAGAATATAATTTTGCTCATTTCAGTTGGTTTCATGGAGAGTTTGAGTAGAGGTTAGTGTCTTCTCACACTTTTGTCACTTGTAGAATTCAGGGGGGCCATCGCTTTCTTTTGGCTAGCACAGCTCTTTGCTAGGTCTCCGGCTCTGTGGGCCATTTGTTACAGCATGTGCAGGACCAGAGATCAGTCTGCTGCAGCTCTGTTCCGCAGCAGGCCCTGGTGCTGCCATATTGCTTGAAGCCCAATCTCAGTTCAGCCTTCCAGCCCTTCTCTCCTCCCCGAGGGCTTTCAGATGCCCACATCAGCCTGCATTCGACAGATATCTGTATACTCAGCTGTTTCCATTCTCCATACCTGTCCCACCGAGGGGCATGGCTTGGTGATAATCACTGCTTTGGAGCTACAAGATGGCCTGCCATCTGGAGATCAAGACAACTGTCATGTCTGATGCTTTTTCTCAGAGGCTGGTAGTGGTGCTTGGTGAGATCAGTTATCTGAGATGAGCTGGAATGTCTGTTGAAAGTTCCTGGGGGTGCAGAAAACAAGGGAGTGTGAGTTCTCACTACCCCGCCTGCCACCTGGGCTTGGCTCCAGAGGAGCTGAAATTCTCAGCGTTGGAAGTGACGCCTCCGTGTCACCTTCGTGGCCTTGACAGCAAAGTTATCTTCAAATTCAGGAAATGCAGCACTGAAATAAAAAAGAACTGTCAGGCACTCTACAGAAACAGACTCAAACAGAACAAGGCTTTTTAGGAAATAAGACAGATTGTGTAAGCATGTCAAAGTCAATATAGGCCATAAAGGGCTAGTGATCCGGAGCTTCGGGGATAATGTACTTCATAAGGCCCATGGAACAATTCCTTGGGCTGGGTATGGAAGCCAGTGGTGTCTCCCTGTGGGCCTCATAGGTTTGGGTCAGAAAGAGTCTGAGAACAGGCAAGAGCAGAGCAGTGAAATGACTTCAATTTCAGAGGTCAGTTCCTCACAGTCTCCACATTTCAGACCAAGTGACTGTTGTAGCTCTGGGTGGCTGAGGTGGCCTGTGAAATCCAATGCAGGGAAGGCGGAGGTAAAAGGAGACAACCTTCCCGTGGAACACTTAGCAGATGGATCTTTCCATTTATTGAGAGGTAAAAGGAAGGCCCACAGGGAGCTACATTCTCTTCTGTCTTGGTTAACAATGGGGCAACTTGTTCTTTGTTTGGAGACCAGTTGAATTTCTAGTGGGTAGAAGCAGAGACCCTACTGCTCAGTTAGAAAGAAGTCTAAGAGTCCTCCTTCTTCCCAGCACCTATCAGCTTTTGTCCAGTCTATAGATTAATTTTTCAGACTTAGTGTTAGTTCAGGTTTGATAAAGATAATGAAAGTTTCCTAATCCTCTTAAGAAGACTTATCTGACTGAGTAGAAAGCTTTTGGAATACAATAAGGCATGTATAAAACTGAGGCCTAATCTTGCCTTTAATTTCAAACTGCTGATGGGTATTGATTTTGCAATGAGAAAAACTGAAAAATTTCCGAGCTGCAACTTGTCTGTTTAGAGAGAGAGAGAGAGAGAAAGGTGTTTATTTATTTTCCATCCATTTGAGGATGTTAGAATCTCATCACCTCTGCCAACCAAGTGCCATTAGCAGAAGGGAGAGCAACCCCACAGGGTCCTGGCTTTGTTGCTCCCTGCTTCTGCAATGTGAGGAACTCAGACATGCTCTGTCACTAACCTCGGAGCCTGTCCTTTGCTGTTTTATAAGGTAGCCTTTGCCACATATCTGATGGGATTAATTTCTAAGTCTTCTGTGAGAGAAGAAGCTGTGTTTGTTAAAAAATTATCACTGATACCCAAGGCACATCTTGGCCACGGAGGGGATAATTTTAAAGCACCATGTGAGTATGTATGATAATGTGACCTAGACTGTGGACCTAGGTTTTAAGAAAATCCAGAGCAAGAGAGAAGTGGTGCTGTGGAGTCAGATTAGTCAGGTAGGAAAATCAACCCTGTATGGGATGGACTGATGTGGAGAAGCCGGATTAGCAGGTAATAGGTTACTGCCATCACTCAAAAGCTGGGACATGAGTGGGCTGTAGGTCTACCTGTGGAGAGGGAGAAGTTTCCTCCAGGAGATACTATCCAAGGGAATTGGGAGGATTAATCTTAACGCCTTGAAAGAGGAAGGATTAAAAGGATATCACCTACATTTTTGAGTTTGGGGAAACGTTGAAGGCCTGGCTAGTAATCCACTGGCCAAGTGGAATTAGGATCCTGTGCCGCTAGGATAGGAAAGCATTAGTCTTGCTAGGTTTAGGGATAAGGAAAGCACAGACATTACACAGGTCCTATAGAGCTAAGGTGTAACTCAGGATCAGAAGAGGTATATTTGAGATTTATCATGAATCTTCTAGTAGGAGAGTAGGTAAGATTTCTGAGATTAACTATTCCTACAGAACAGCAGGAACCACAGTTTATTTATATCTATCCCCAGCACATAGCACACTGTGTGAGGCATACTAGGCATTCAGCAAATGTTTGTAAAATGAATGGAGGGGCAGATTGATACAGCAAATGAAATGGCATATGAAGGCAGTGACCATAAAGCCCCTTCAAGCAGATAGGGATGGGGAATGAGTCAGACACTGTCCAGATGACTTGGAGTGGGCAGTAATTGGGAACAGTTTGCTGGAGGGATGAGGGTCTTCAGTGTGATAAGCTTAAGAGATACACCAGGGATAACATGCATTTATTTAGCTCTCTATAGCACTGGTCACAATCTTTGTCTCGTTTGACCCTTACAAAAAGCCCTGGGAGGCTGCAGTGCAGTGACTCTTCTCTTCATTTTGCAAATTAGATAACTACAGCTCATGGAGGTTAAGAGAGCAGCCAGGGTCCCCAGTGAGTAAGTAGTAGAGCTGGGGCTTGAACCATGGCCATAGGACTCCAAGATCAGTGTCTCTCCAGCATACTCCAGCACCTCCTGTGCCAACCGTATCTGAGGTTAGTTCCCTAATATAGATCCCTGGGAAATTTTCAGTTATCCTTTCTTCTTTGCCCCCTTTTTCCCTGCTACTGATATTGCATTGTACCAGCAGAGATTGAGGACAAAGCTCAAGAAGAAAATTAGCAGTGGAAGTGGGATGCCAACGCTACAATAAATTGTGTAGAGAGGCAGAGAGAGGCAAAGAAGATAATTAATTTACTAGTAGCTCATCCCTCCAGGGATACACGTTTTAAATGTTACCTCTTTATCCTATGTAAGTACTGAAAACTCTGCCCCTCTGAGAATCCAGTATCTAATTGTGATTCTAACTGTCATGAAGTCTTCAGCACTCTGAAACTCCATGGATATCCTTGTGTCACCATGGTTGCTGTCCTTGTCCAGGATAGATCGGCAAGAAGATAGGCTGTCTCTTTGCTTCTTGGATATTGACATTTTCTGTCTGCTCTCTTGGCTAGTTCAGAAATCTGTTTACTACCAGGTATTTCTTTTCATGGAATTGACTCCTCTTGCTCAGCCCAATTGTATGCAAATGGCTAGAAATGGTGAATTATGTGTATATTTCTCACATCTGAGACTCTACAGCAAGCTCATGCAATTTCTGTGTCTGCAAAAGACTTGAGTCTTTGAGCCTGGAGTCCGTTCAGGTGAGACTGTTTGGTACCCAACATTGAATTTAGAAGGTGGAGAAGTCTGATCTGCCAACCAGTCCAGTGGTAGATTCTGCTGATCACCAGCCAACTTCTGCACTGGGCACATGAAGCATAAACCTTAGCTCAGTTGATCCTCAGACCAAACCGACAAAGTCTACATCAG